AGATCCAAAGCAAATTGACGAAACGTTACGAACTTTTTTTCGCATCTTCAAAACTATTTCCCATCGTGCATTTTATATTAAATGGAGAGTGTTTTTCGTCCCTTCATAGGGCGCCCGAGTCACGTGCTGTCATTAAAAGCATGGTATTATATATACATATTACATATTGTTACGTTACTTATCATAATTATTTAGTATCATCACCTGTGCCAGGGAGACGAAAAGCGAACTGAATCACTGTAACCCTCGGATTATGGGTGAGCAAGTGGCCCGGCAAGTACCAGACCACTACAACGGGGACGGGAACGGGGATCACCCTACTCTTATACGAATAGTGCAGTGGCCGGTTCTTAACCTTCAAAGGTGGTGATTCAACTCTACACGAATATGAGAATATTTGATGTTCTCGTTGCCCAGAAACATCCTGTTTCTAAATATTCCGAGCGAGCGAAGCGAACAAGCGTTGTAAAAATTGTGCTTAACCTGCAAAGGTGGTGATTCAACCCTACCACGAATATTAGAATATTTGGAAATCTCGTTGCCCGGAAACATCCTGCTTCTATATGTTCCGAGCGAGTGAAGCGAACAAGCGTTGTAAAAATGTAATTTCCATATGAAAAAAGAGATGTAGGCCTATATTCTGCACCTCACCTCACTTCTGAATGTTGCGCGTGAACGAATATAAAAAAGACACTTGATTGTCCTTAAAATGTCATTTTTTTATGAAAATACTAGCTGTTTATAATACTATATTCTTTTTATGAAATTGACATTTATTTAAAAATTTACCGCAAGTGCATATTTAATCAATTTTTCTCGCAGTATCCCTCGACACAGATAACAGAAACGCTGTTCTAGAGTGTAAAGGGGAAATTATACAACGCATGGAGAAGCAAAAGATCATCAGACTTGTTCACGAGGCCCGGTCGTGAGGTCACTCCGCTTCTAAGAGCGTCGAGGTAACTGACATGCGTAAATATTTGGGACATCCCAAGTAATTGCCCTCCTCTCTACCGACTTCCTAACACTACAATTAACCTAATGAAAAACCACTTTGGGTAATGATGGTTGCACGGTTTACATGCAAGTTGACCTCAACGATCCAACCCGACCCCTTTTAGGAGACCTTTTCCCCGCTTGGCTCGATCATGCCTGCTGAGTAGTAAGACGCACTTTCGTCACCTTTTACTTTCGTCAAAGTTCCCTCGCCCTTTGTCTGTACCATTTCGCGACCATCATCCCTTTCCCTTTTATCTGCTTCCACCCCCATCTCTCTCTCTCACTCTCTCTCTCATATATCTCTGACTCTCCTTTCATTTTTGTCCTCACTCTATCTCTCCCCCATTCCACTTTCTCACTCTCATCTCTGATCCCCTCTTTCCATCTGCACATAATCTTCTTACGTCCCAAACCCTCTCCTCATCAAAAGTGTCCGTTTCTTTTGCTCCTCTCTCGCTTCGTCTCTCTCTTCTTCTCTTCCTCCACTCTCATCTCATCCTCCTTATTTAGTTCACAGTCCATGTCTAGTTTGCCTTCAATATACCTCTATCTTCTTCTCTCTCACCACATCTTCCCTTTTCCTCTATCACCTTTTAACTACATGTATAGTCTCCTTCTTTAATTAACACTCTCTCCTTACTTCAGACTATCGAATATGTGAACATGTCACTTTTCTCACGACTACCCTACAATTTTCATGCATAATATATTATTTGGTTTGCAATGGTGTATATTTTGGCTCACAAGTGAAAATGGATGATCATGAATTTCAGAAGCTACAATCAATATTCTTTCTCTATTCCGATATAGAAATAGTCCCTTCCATTTTTTCTTTCACGAAAATAAATCGTATGTGGGTCATATAGTTAAGACATTTTTTCAGTTAACGCAACTCACGATACTGGCTAATTTTAAGTCCATGTTGGGTTTATTGAAGTGTTTCTTTTCTTCGCTTTGCTTCCCTGAATTCGTGAGATTGGTCATACATGATGCGTTAATGAAACTTGCCGTTTTTCATGTTGTTTGTTAGAACCATCATGAAATTCCAAAATAATGGAATGGATATACATTTACAAGTGATTCATCACCTTAGCAACCCCCGGGTGTCTAGAAGAGTACCTTAACGGCGCTTTGTGGTGAAATTCCACCATTATCAAAAGAAACATCATCTTTGTCAGCATCATCATCATTACCATTACCCCCACCACTAGCAACGTCATCGTCATCACCGTCGTTATTATCACCATTACCTTCATCATCGCCAGTGTCATCACCAGCACTATTTTGTTTTTTAAGGAGGTGGGGTAGAGAAAGAGAAGGAGAGTAATATAGAATGCTAAAAAGGCGAGAAGTCGGTTTCCATACAGAAGTCAACTTTTTTTGTTAATGGAAATTCTAACCTTTGTCGTCTCTGTGGTATACAAAGTAATTAGGGACAACTTATAAGCATTTTCTTACACCATCACAACCAAAGCATATATTGAGAAAGTGAGACACGAAGTAAAAGTTTGGTTTATATTTCACTTTGTTTTATATTTGCATTTCATGAGAGTATCCAAAACTTGTAATTTGCCAAAAACGATTTATGAAACTATTTCATTTGTGTAGACGATGAAGTATAGAAATGCAGCATGTAAAATATATCCAGTGAAAGAAAGAGAGAGAAAGGTTAATAAATAAAAGAACAATTTAAGCCATTAGAATCAATTTCAAGATAGTGTCCATATTCTCAAATTTAAAATGAAATTACGCTAATTCACGCGAGGCATACCTTTAGAAAAAATTCATACCAAACCCGAATACTAAGACCATTCAAGAGAAGAAAAAAAAAACATGGCCACTGTAGACAGGTTGTGTTTCAAGACAAATTTCACAACACTCTCCTTTTCTTGAACACGGGAAACACTTATAAGTTGCCACTATCAACAGGTGGCCTTCATAGATAAGTAGACATGGAGGCAGGTTGTATCTTCCCATTTACAAATTGAAATATATGTATAAGTAACATGGGGTAGATTTATAATGAGATGTGGAAATCAACTTCCTGAAATCCTCTGAAAAGAAAACATGTCATTCTGTTATTGCCCTTGATGTAACAGAGGATGCCAGAACCTGTTAGATTAAGAAATATGTACTGATATCATAAGACCTGTGGGGACCTCTTGCATAAAACATTGCTTTTATTAATCTAAAAAAAAGGAAAATAAAATAATGCAATTTGATTTTCAACCAATTAACATGTCTGTAATAAACCACTCAAAGGAAACAATAAAAGTGGTCCTAATGTATGTAGAAATGTGGTTTTTGTTTACTCGTCTGGTTTCCTTCAAGAAATGTTTCACTTTTTTCTGTGAGGATATAGTGGTCTTTGCAGACATATTGTTCCATATCCTACGACATGTAATTGAATTTAACACAACCCTGGGTCTAAAATTATGTTTCAGAAAAGGGAAACTTTCTTTGCTAGACTCCATATTGGGCAACAGCCTAAACCCAACATCAGGGCCCTGTTTCATAAAACCTGTTATCTATAACAAATACAAAATTTCTATGACAACTTTGGTCTCAGCCATCAAATGCCATGATTTCGGTAGCTTATAACAGTTACTGAAATTGGTTATTGTTAAAAAGATTTATGAAATAGGGACCAGGTTTATAGGAATACAGGCCATGGTGTCCTCTAAACATGATCACTAAAGCAGGTTTAATTATTTTTTAAACAATTAGAAGACATTATGGGCAGAATAAGGAAGACTGTGTTAACACAAATGAAAGAAAGAACAAATAAAGATTGAATGTCTTTAACTTATAATGGATACTTTTCTTCAATATGTTGTCATAAATTTGGTATTCTCAACTTTGCACAAAAGTAAGAACTGTAGTTCTACATCATTTGCTAAAAAAATATATGCGTATGCTGCGACATGTATAGTAGAATGAATATCAGCATTCCAAATCATCTTTATTCATACTAGCATGTGTGGTATACTTATTGTCAAATTTATGTGGACAACTGAGAATTCTGGAAGAAAATAAAAGGAGCAACAAAAGACATTAGACATTATAAATGTGAGCTATTATTATTATTATTATTATTAGAAACAAATAAGAATTATTAATTGAAGGATCCTGTCCTCTCAAAATGAAACAACTTTGTAAACAGACGGGATAATGAAATAGAAATCATAGAATATTTCAAATTAATCAGTAAATGTATCATCAAATTCAGTGTTACACAGGAAAAGTATATCAAGAATACAAAGAAAAGAGAGAGATAATCTATTCATTAAATCTGCTTTCACAGATGTCATGGAAAAAAACGGTGGTGACAAAAATATAACATTTTACATTTAAATGAATTGCAAGAGGGGTATTTTAAGAGTGAAGCAACTGTACGCAATATGTCTCTACCCCCCCTCCCTCCTTTTGAGCATATGTATTTATCTGTGTCATAGACAAACGAATGGAAAGCAAACTATGCTTTAATACATGACCTTATTTCACAGTGGCAATTTACCATAGAATGTGCGAAAAGAGTCATAAAATTCCTTAAATTTTGAATATTTCTGACCTCATGTGGGGGCATTAGGAAAAAGGATAGAAATACTAATTCATAATTTATAGGTAAAATGATAAAATCCAGAAGTACATGTATTTTTCTTTTATGTAATCGTAACCAACCTGTTTAATAACAGCCTGTTTCTAAAGTCCATAACCAGAATTCAGGATTAAAGTATGTATTGCTTAAATAAGTTTAGAAACTGAAATGAATATCATTCAGTATATTAAATGCATACTCCAATCTTCCACTACACCATTTTTTCTACATCCAATCTGATAAAAGAACATAATAATGTAAAGAATGTCAATCATAATGTAAGACCGACGTAGGCAATTCCATGCAAAATTTCTCGTTCAAAATACATATTTATTTTCCTTTTATTTCATTGTATGAACAATCTCTCCGTATGAAAATTTTAAAAAGGAGGTGAGACCAGAAAGATGAAATACATGGATTGATGTCATAAGCACACAGTTGCTCATGTAATCACTTACTCTATGCTTTTGTTATATTATCTTAAATCTGCATTATCATGATTCTCTTCGAGAATTTCACACCATTTGGGTATTTATCCAGTAAGAGATGATATCAATCACAGAAAATAGACATCACTTTTACGACCAACAGATTTCAAATGATGTGCATTTTCTCTAGCAACTTCAAAGGAATATTCATCATCATAAATTCCTCTCCAAAGACCATGACTGAATGCTTTTCATCTCTCGCAGCAGATTCTTAGAACTTCTGTAACCGCTGTAATCAAACTGTCATGCATTGCACATGGAAACTCCCTACATTTTTTTTCATTAATAACTCTAAACAATTAGCCAGGTTATAAATATTAAATACTTGTTAAAAACATGAAATTGCAAGTTTGAAAATCAATTAGCTATTTTCTTAAACCGACATATTCAAGAAAAGCTAAAAACAAGCGTTTAAAAAACAAAGGTGGGCTATGCATATTCTGAAGAAGGGGAAAATCAGTACTGTCTAAAAGGTAAAGTCAGTTCAACTTTGGCTGCAGTGATGTGGGGCTGTTTGAAATAGTTCTCCTTGGGGGTATGAAAGTTGAAAAAGCAAAGCAACAGGTTTGTCCATTTTCCAGAGTACTGCCTTTAAAATGTCTAGTTCAATGTCAGGTTCATGCAATGAGTACTCGTTCAAAACTAATGGACAGGGGCTACTTTTCATGAATTTTCATGTTAGTATCCACTGAAAATAGATTACGAACTATTCACTCGACAGCTGCATTTTGTTCAAAATTGCATGTGGTTCCAGGTTTCAAATCTTGCATATATCCTGTTCTGTATTTGTGATTTTTTTTTGCTCCTTCTTCAAGTTAATCTTTGCTTGGTTGAAATTCTTAAAACTGCTTTCCTCCTGAAAGGATAAAAATGTAGAAGTCAAATAAACATTTTCCTCCTATTATTTCACATTATACACATATTTAAAAAATGTATTTACAATTGATATTTACATCTTAAAATGTACTAAAAAAGAATTGAGGAATATCTAAAAGCACCAGTATCAAATGACATTAGAATCAATTGTGCAGATTGTTGGTTCCAAGGAAGTGATTGTTCAACATACCTACACAAAATGAAACTACCATTACTGATGGCGAATTGTACAAAATAGTAGATTGCAATTTGGCAAAGTTGGCCTTCAAATCAGTCATCCTCATTGGATGTGTATATGGCAACATTTCTCCTTTTGAATTTCTTTGACCCGCTCCCCCCTTTGACGGTTATAACATCTGGTCTTGCATCATCGCTCAAGACGCCACTTCGGTCGTTTTCGTCCGAGATGCTCGCCTCGTCAGAGGCATCGCGCGAGGAAGACGTGTACACCTCTAAATTCCTTCTTTTGATTTGACCGTGTCTTGGTGTGCTAGACTCGAATGAAGGAACCTCACCGTCTACACCCGAGAGACGATCCTTGGCCTCTTCATCAAGTTCATCGAAGAGAAGTTTGTTTGCCAGCTCGTCTTTAGCAGGCAGGATGCTGTTGTCGAGACCAGATGAAGGGGATGGAATGCTTGGAGTTTTGGTGATGATCGGGAGAGAAAGTGAAGTCCTCTTGATGGGAGAAGGAGGGAAGTCTTGATTCGATGGAGATTGAACTGCAACTTTTCCTCCTAACACAATCTTTCCATCGCTGTTATCCTGTTCCTTCTTCTTACCACCACCACCATCCTCATTCTCATCACTGAGACAGATCTCCTCTGGGTTTAGACCGGACTCTGGGTCGACAGACATCCTGGATGAATTATTGCTCAATCTCGAGTCATTCACAGACAGGTCCAAGAAACTCGCCCCTGCTTCAGAGTCAATGAAACTCTCAAAGAGAATCCTGGATGACTCGGAGGTATCGTCATCCGCATCGTTGCCGTCGTCCGAGTGGGTTTCCTCCTCAGGTGGCAGCACCGGCCCAGCATGTTCACCTGGCTCAGACGACCCGCCCATCAGGATCACGCAAGGGTCTATAACTTGAAGTCTGGAACACAGCGCTGTGGTCTGAGGGTTGATCATGAGACTGGGTTGCTTTGAGTTCCTCTCTATATTGTTGGGGTCGTACACCCTCACTGTCTGATCAAAGGAGTCAGGGATTTTGAGATCATCTCCAAAAGCAGTCCTCACTGCTGCAAGCTGATTCATGTTTACATTGTATTTCCACCTAATCAGAACGATAAAACAACAGTTTTATATATACTGCAAATCAAAATGTGAGACTGTTGACTGCAATGTTTGACAAAAACTGAATAATTAATTGGCTTTTGATAGCTACATCACAATTACCGGGCAATGGTAAAACTAACGGCCAGGCAATAACTCTTTTGGTATGTTCAACACAGAACAATAAATACACATGGAGTGAACACTGAATAAGCACAGTAAGACACGCAGATACTACACAAACAATTAAAGTGGTTAATATCCTGATGGTTAATGTTTTTATAAATGAAAATAAATAAATCTGACGATCGTTTTTGCTTATACTACAATTTCTATTTATGAAGATTCACTGATGAAGTATGGTGCATGTAGAAAGAAAAATACATATTGACTTAATACTTTTCGAGCCATTATTTTATCTTGGGGAATAGTGTAGTTTTGTGATCACCTTGCGCTAATAGTTCAAACTTTCAAATCAAAACACAAAGCAGTCAAGATCTAAAAACCATTCATTATTATTTACACTCACTTGTTCATAGGGATTGTCCCTATTACTATTCACAAATTTTTATCTTATATCCTATTTTTCTCTACTTGGCTATCACACATTCCTACTAAATCTGTATAGCATATATCATTTACTTGTGATCTCAATTTTTAAAAATTTGTTCGCGGGGGCTATATTTCTTCAGGCGGTTTACCATAGAATGTGCGAAAGAGTGCAAAGACAAAACGTCATGTGACTTTGTAACTGTATGTCCGATTTTCAAAAAAAATTGTTTTAAAAGATGTGCAAGATTCAAAGAAAAAAGTCAGCAAGCGACGGGGCGTCATCCGTATGCGTTCCCGAACAATCAACAACAAGAACCAGCCTCATCAGGGTTAAATCTGTTAGCTACTGAATTCTATCTTTCCCAATAGGTTAACTGTAGCTGGGTCCATATTTTATTTACTTACTTTGAGCAGTAGCCTTTGCTGGGCATATGAACAATATCCCTGGAAGTACTCAATAGATGATTCGTTGCTTGCAGGACAGCCAGCCACTCAGTATCATAGCTCAGCTCAAATGGCCTCTCAGATTTTTCTGGGAATTCAAGAATCTAAGACAGTACAAAAATAAACAGAACAGAGCCATGGCTATTTAACAAACATGCCTCAAAGACAAAAGGAACTACATTAATCTTCAACTGCGCGCAGTAAAAATTGATGCCTCCGCCATAGAGCAATATATCAAACCAAAACAGAAGCAATTTTTAAAATTCAAGTTTGATTGTAAGAGGTTCTTAGAATATGTTGATTACAAGCTATTATCATATACATGTATGACCCTTTGATCTTTGACCTAATGACCCCAAAATCAAACCAATTCATTGGCTCTGCAAGAAACAAACATGTCTCGAGTTTGATGGTAAGCCGTCAATTGGTTCTAATGATAATGCGATCACAAGCTATATTTGCATACATAATGAGCCCTGCGACCTTTGACCTCTTGACCCCAAATTCTAATCAGTTCATACAATTCTAATACATACAAAACCTAAGTTTGGCAGGAATCTTGAGATAACGCGATCACGAGAACGGGACGTACAGACTTACGGACAGACAGACAACCAAAAATATAATGCCTCCGGCTACTTCGTTGCGGATAAAATGGCTGGTACCTGGTAAAGGTGATTATTTTGGTGGGTTTTTTTCTCATTCTTTTTATTCCCAGATGGAAGAGTTATATCAGCAATGTCAGGCAACTACTTGGCGAACAAAATTTCTTCAAATTATTCTGAATAATAAACCATTGAGAATAAATCATAAAAGTTCCATTCTCAATCTAATTGCCCAACACTGACTCAATATCATTTTAATTAATATATTTCTTGTATTATAAAGGGGACCAAGATAAGCTAATCATGTTGAACAGATGTTAATGCCTGCTATATACCTAAAATATCCTTTAACATGGGCGTTACTCTCAGTGATAGAACTGGGTTGGATGATATACTCAATTGGATTGCGGTTTACATTACCTGCAGGAAATCCTTGCCAGGGAGGCACTTGTCTATAGCAAGAAACTTGGTGGTCTTCTGGACATTGCCATCATCACTCTGAAAGAAGAAAAAAAGGAAACAGTATAATTTCCACAGATATACAGAACCACAGTCACTCTCTCTACCACTAATACAATTCATCTTTATACAATTCACAATTCTTTTCAATTTTTAGTTAAATGCCGTTTTGACGATGACTCAATAGCACAAGACATAATCCCATTTTATTTGGATACATTGCAGTAGAACAAAATACTAGGCCAATATGTTCTCTAATGCAGGGGTGATAGTGAGCACTAAACAAGAAATAGGTTTTTTGTTTTTCCCTTCAACCACGCCCCCCTTGAGTAAAAAAAAAAAGAAGAGGATTCGCGGGGAAAAAATGGCATCTAACAACATTTGGACAAAATTTGGAAAAAATTTGGAAAAAATAGAGCATAATAGGGAAGAATAGAGAAAATAAGAGGGAAATCGGGAAAATCAGGATAAAATAGGGAAGAAAAAACTAGATGGAATTTTGACTGCGCGCAGTCGAAAATGATGCCTCCGCCATAGAGCAATTTAAACAAGTTTGGAGTTTAAATCTCCAGTGGTTCTTGAGATATCATGATAACAATCTCAATGTATGGAATTTCATAAGTTGACCTCTGTGACCCTTGACCTTTGACCTACGTGCTCCAAAATCTAATCAGATTGTCTTCCTATGGTGATACACACTATCATTAAGTTTGAAGTTTAAATCTCCAGTGGTTCTTGAGATATTATGATATGGTGATACATGTACATACTATCATTAAGTTTGAAGTGAAAATTCTCCAGTGGTTCTAGAGATATCGCGATAACGATCTCAATGTATGGAATTTCATAAGTTGACCTCTGTGACCCTTGACCTTTGACCTACGTGCTCCAAAATCTAATCAGATTGTCTTCCTATGGTGATACACACTATCATTAAGTTTGACGTTTAAATCTCCAGTGGTTCTTGAGATATTATGATAACAATCTCAATGTATGGAATTTCATAAGTTGACCTCTGTGACCCTTGACCTTTGACCTACGTGCTCCAAAATCTAATCAGATCGTCTTCCTATGGTGATACATACTATCCTTAAGTTTGAAGTTTTTACATCTCCAGTGGTTCTTGAGATATCATGATAACAATCTCAATGTATGGAATTTCATAAGTTGACCTCTATGACCCTTGACCTTTGACCTACGTGCTCCAAAATGTAATCAGATTGTTTTCCTATAGTGATACACACTATCACTAAGTTTGAAGTTTAAATCTCCAGTGGTTCTTGAGATATCATGATAACAATCTCAATGTATGGAATTTCATAAGTTGACCTCTGTGACCCTTGACCTTTGACCTACGTGCTCCAAAATCTAATCAGATCGTCTTCCTATGGTGATACATACTATCCTTAAGTTTGAAGTTTAAATCTCAAATGGTTCTTGAGATATCGCGCTAACAAACTCAATACAAGGAATTTCATAAGTTGACCTCTGTGACCTGTGACCTTTGACCTACGTACTCCAAAATCTAATCAGATCGTCTTCCTATGGTGATAAATACTATTCCCGAGTCTTAAGTTTAAATCTTAAATGGTTCTTGAGATATTGTGATAACGGTCAAACGGGACGGACGTACGTACGGACGTACGGACAACCCGAAAACATGATGCCTCCGGCACCACTTTCGGTGGCGGAGGCATAAAAATTGGTAAAAAAAAAAAAAAAAAAAAAATCTGGATTTTTTTTTTTTTTAAATCGGGAAGAAAAAAAAATCTGGAAAAAATAGGGAAAAATTAAAAAAAATCGGGAAACCGATTTAAATCGGGTTTTTATCAGGCCTGCTAATGACTTGTTTACATGTATATAATTGAAAACACCTTCCTTCTATGACTTGACTCTGCATTGTGCTACCAATCAACAAGACAGCTTTAATTACTTACACTTACTGCATTTTTAGCTTCAACCATACCCCGAACATTACACTAAACCCACAACGGTTTGCTTAGTCATGGCTCCGATCGCAATGACCACACACAATGATCACGTTGTGTAACCTGTACCCAAATGCGTTATATAACTTATAAACCGATCGCAACCCTAATCCTAGCCGTAATTATCTTTCATGAGTTGAGGCCCTGAGCAATTGTCACTGGCTACAACACAATGGCCCTATCCTGCAGTGTATGAGAAAAGTAAAGGGGATAATGCAGTACCTTGTGTTCGACCAGAGCAGAGAACTTGACATGGAGATGGGCTGAGAACCAATAGTCTGGTTTGAGTTCATGAAGCAGCTCTTCCGCAGGTGGACTACCTGTATAAGAAAACAAGAAAATGGTTTGCAAAATCTATGAAAAACATGATTAGATCATCCAAAAGTCAATCTTTTTGCAGGAAAGGCTGTTTTCTCTTTATATGGAGAAGAGGTTGGGTAATGCAGAGATGTCAACCTATTGACACAAAAAAACAGACTGAGTATCCTAAAAAAATCAAATTTTGGACTGGCCCGTCAGCCCCGGGCCAGTAAAATTTCAGAAAAATGTTTGCTCTTTCATTTAAGTTTAAAGAGAAAATTGTAAAGCAAAGATTTTGTTGGGATTGCAGAGGTTTACTTGTACATGTTTCTATGCGATTCCGCTGTTTTTATGGGTTTTGAAAAAAAAGATGGAAAATCATATTTTAAGATTTTAAGATTGTAATGTCACTCTTATTATCGTACTAAATACGATTTAATCGTACAGGTTGGCATCTCTGGTAATGATGTACATTCCAACATATGTCAAGAGGAGGGCGTGCCCTACCACACCCATAACACTACGATATTTGGGGTGCATGAGCCTAAGGATATCAGTGAAATACTACTATCCTAATCTAAAGGATGACATCTATTTTGTACTGTAACTATAAACTATTGTGCAACCAAGACTGTGACTTCTTGCCAACAAATCTATTTTCCCCAACATTTTTGTTATTCCATTGGCGATAACAGGTGTAATTAACCATTGCTTTGATGCTCCCAAAATATGATGTTTTCTGTATATTCCTTTGAGGTATTGTAATGAATAATCTAATTTCTTAAAACTCAACTGTGAACAGAATTACTTGCCTAACGTGTTGCTCATGGCTTCCCTTTCAAAGAAACTCTTCTTGCGGAAAAGTTCATCCCTGTCGCCGTGGTGATAGATGCCTGTAGGCCAGTCATGTGACATCATAATGTCAATGGGCTGTTGAATCTGCATTACGTATGTAAAATATAATGTACTGTAACAAAATGTTCTTCAAATATGTTTCAAATATTAGTGCTGGATAGGAAAAAATTGAGACATATCTACTTGATACTTGCAAGATGATCAGGTGTAGTCGTGAAAAAGCTAGTAATGCAAAATTGGTGATCAATCTTACACACTTAAAAGCACTTACACTAAAGGGAACTTCAAAAATACATTTTATCCATCTATTTCATCCACAAATAAAAAAAATCTCTTTTGAGACCACTGCCCGAATGGTAATTATCAGAGTACCTGAGAAAGAACCTTTTGTCAATGGTCATTTCAGGAATTTGCTTTTGAAGAAATACATGTTAATTGATTAAAGGCATATGCGGTATTAAGAGACACATCCCACAAAATCGTCCAAATTAGCATTTAATACAACAGTAAAATAAATAATGAAACTAGTCCTTTTAAAGTTCATGTTGGGTGGAGCGCGCCAGTTTGCTCACTGCACTGTGAGCAACAGTAGGCATGGCTACACCCACTGAGTTGTAAGAACATTATCATTGATAACAAGACTAGAATTATGATAGATGTCTAGAGAAACCTACCTGTTTTAATCTGTAAACTTCCAGGTTTCTGACATGGTATGCACTTCTCATATCGTCATTGGAGTAGGGTGGTCTCTCATAGTGGCCCTTCCTGTAGTCATGCTTCTTGTAGATACCGGATAGTCCTCCGATTCTTATCCCACCATAGTTCACAATACTGGCATAGCCTACAATCAAATGAACACATAAGTAATTTTGCAATTTATGTTTCTGTCTTCTCCCACTCCCACTGTTGCTGCTACTACTACTACAACTGCTACTCCTATTATTATTACTACAACTTCTACTACAACTGCTACTACTACTACTACTTCTACTATGAATGGCAGTTACTAAGATTTAAAGTCGAATTAAAGATCATAAACTTGAGAAGGGAATTTTTCCACCGAAATTGCAAGAAAGGAAGGAAGGAATAAAACTATTAAATAGCGATTCGTAACTGTCTCTTTTCTTTCTACCAAAGAAAAAAAAAGAAAAAAAAGATTCCCTTTTAGTCTTTCCCAGTCTGATATGAAATTGAAATGACTCGATTAATAAACATGGATACACAACGAATCAAATATTAACTACATTTAAATCACTCTGATGATAATCCACAAGCCTAATTACAAAGCAAGGCTTGATCAAAATCTTGAAAAGACTTATCATCACCTAAATAGTAGATCCCAGGACACACCCATCCTCCATAAGGCAGTTCAGCAAGATAGTTGGAGGCCTCGTGGTTCCCTCCGATGAAAATGGTCAGGATTGGAACCTTCTTCTCACCAGAGTAATACCTGTTGGCAAGAGAATGTGAGGCACATAAATAAAAGTAAAAATGTTGTGATTGGATTGATTTGATTTCATGAGGACTGGCAAGGCAAAATCTTTCAAATGTTACATTTTCTTGTCTCTAACTCTCACTCATATACATGTACATGTATTTGTTGTTTTGATTGTGGCTTTCTAGGTATTTGGCTTACGGTCTTCCAATAGGGCTGATATTTCCTGTTATGCTTGTCTATTTTGCTTATTACGCAGTTATCAAAATTTCTTTCAGAATCATTTGGCACATGAAATGAATTTTCAACATTCACATATAAAATATTTGGTGGTGATTGTGCTGAATTCTGTTTGAACATGCTTTCTACCTTTACCAGTAATCAAGAGTATCTTTAACAGACACAAATGGTTTGACGTGAGGTTGGTGGGTGGGATTGTAAGTAAAAAATTAAAAAAGGTCAGCTCCATACATACAGTAGAATCAGTACTGTTTGAACTTACTTGTAGAAAGTGTTCATCTGGCGATATTTCTTGGGGACGGCCATGCATTCCATGTCAGCTTCATTGCGAACAGACTGAAAGTCACCACAGCACAAGACCAGATCCACCTTGAAGCCTAAGAAAAATAAAAAATTAATTCACGAGGAAATATTCAGGGTGGAACATATATAATAAACAGGGACAATGATATACATTCATCACAAATTAAAACAATAGTGGAACGATAACATAAATTGTAAATTAATATCTGAGGCAAAAGGTGCAACGATTAATGTAAAAATCTCCACAGCAAAGTACTAGGTGAAAGTACTAGAGATCCACCTCGAAGCCTTTAGCCAAGTAAAAATATTAAAATGCATTCATGATGAAATTTCAGGGTAAAACATAAGGGAAAACAAGGACATTCATTGAAATCAACAATGCACAAATATCTTTAACAAAATTATTACCAAGTAGGACCTATGTTGTGATTGAATATTTGGGGCCATGGCTGCATGATGTATGACAGATTGACAGAGTTACTCATAAAGCTCGAGGGTGAGCAACATATGCTCTGGACAGTAACTTTTGCTTTGGGCTTTATTTTGTTGAAGATATAGGGTTAAAGTTGCAATAGGGTTGTGGGTAATGTTTAGGGTTACCGGTAGGTGTAGTGTCTGGTCCACGGTTGAAGTTCGTAATTTTTTAAGTGTGGGAAAATTAACACAGCAATTCCCAAACAATCTGTTGAAGTTTGTGAACCTCAAATAAAAATAATGTAAATACGCTTCTATATTGTATCAACAAATTCATACCATCAAGTATTTCTTGACGTGTACGCAGGGGTTGACACTAATAGGGTCATGTACACCATGAATGAAGCCCTGATTTTTACTGAAGACCCCCCCCCCCCCCCCTAAAAAATAAAAATCATCGTGGGAACACGGGTGCATCATAGTTCATACACTGACCCCCAGGGTGCCGTTTCTCGAAACCGTCATAAATCTAACTTCTTGGACATCCCATTGAAATGTGTGTTATAGAATTTACACGAGCATCTACGGAATATCTTCAAACTTAGACTTATGACGGTTTCGAGAAACTGGCCCGTAGCCCCTGTATTCTAGCTTGCCAAGTTTAAGTGCTAGGCTTCACTAACAGTATCTAAATGTAGGGTAAGACAACTTAACATTACCTTCTTTCTGCTCTGCGAATGCTATCGTTTCATATATTTTATCAAGCTCTCCATGACCACATCCCTCTATGGCTATCCGCATCCTGTCAAATTCTGTTTCACGTCTCCTCAGAATCAAGAATGATTATCTCTTTCAAGACCTGTCTGAAGAACAATGGGAAGGTTGAGCATGTTAAGTACTGGTCTAAACGTGAACAATAATTAGTCAGCTTTAATTGATCTTTTAACTCTTGTGCACGAATTTGAAACTCACTTTTATGGCCTTTTTCAGTTGCCATGCGTAGCTCGAGCTCAGTCTCCCAAATCTTTGTCAATAAATTGTTTTAAAGATAGTTGTGTGTATGGTATGTAACTTGCTGTTTGGTTATCATAGTCAGCCAAACACTGTAATCCAAAAACAGTGAGTTCAAGCCACATTTTGGAGCTTAACTTTTTAATTTGTGTTGATAATTTTTTCCGTCAGCCGGCCAAAAGAATCAAGACCCGGAAAAAAACACTAAGCGATGATAACAGTCATTTTTCAGGTGATTTTTTTAAGATGTGAAGTCCTTATTAGATCAAGATCTAGGTCTATGTGAGAGAAAGGGTGTTACCAGTTCAACAAGCGTACAGCAGCACACATTTCCACTTTTATTATAGGTCTAGGCAAGTAGGCATGTAACAGTGCTGTCAAGTATGCGTGACAGTCACGCATCGAGGGTCTGAAAACGCTGTCACGCATGGAAAAACTGTGATAACGCCATTACGAACGTATAGCTCGCGCACAGTTTTTCCTTCATAATCATTTTGCCTTCGGCGTAGACTAGAAGAGATGAGATTTAGATGACGTCATGCGCAGCGAGAGTTAAAATACGTCTTGCAAGATTTTCAACATGGATTTCGATTTTGACCCATAATTTCCTAAAAAGGGACCATTAAACGGATTATTTCAGTCAAGTTCGTAAGTGGAACCGATTTATTAGAGCCTAGGCCTAATTTACAATATAACATGCACGAGGTAAAATGACATTTGGGGGGATTTTCGGGGCATAAAAATATGGCCATAAATGGCCTTGGTGTTAGCAAGGGAATGCGTATAGTCGGCTTCCGTCTCTAAAGAGAGAGCCGACCCTACCCAAATAAGAGGCTTAACGAACGAAAGAGACGGAAAATTCGGTCTAGTATATCGCATGCAGGCCAGCTATCACGTTGCGTCATGCACGCGTGCGATATCGAAACGTATATAAGGCTATATGCTATACCCTCGCTTGCGCGCCGAGTCATGAAAATGTCACGCATAGCTGATCTTTGAAGTTTGAACTTGGCGTCTCTGATGTTATTGTTAATGCCCGTGCACAAAGAAAATTGCAGACGATTCATGTTTAACAAGAATTCATGTAGATCTGACTCTATTCTCTACTACTAGCTGAGTGAGAGTAAGAATGCAATGAGAACATAGACACAGGTTTCTGCTTTCAAATAGCGTTATTAATATTAGGTTAAGTGTCCGATAACATTAGGTTAACTCCTAGAATCTACTCATACTTTCATAGATTCACATTTCATAGACCATTTATCTGTTCAGTCATATGCATCATCATAGCATTACCAATCTAGCTGACCATCGACCACTCACTCACTACTCACCTGCATGCACGTCTAACGATCTGTAGACTGTACTCTAGTCTCTACTGTACTGGTACCTGGCCTGTCAACTAGTAACGAAATTCTAGTTAAATCTACGACTGTATTGAAGACTATTGTACTGAGCTGATTTGCGAGCTTGAACTGAAGATCATGAAACGTTTATTTTGGAGATAAAGATCGGCTTGGAGCGTCCGAGTACATCGTTATGATGTGTGCATGCACAATTAAGCAAGAACTTCGCAAAAGATCTAGCTAGCTGCATCAAAGAGCTTAATTACGGAGAGCTCTAAGTTAGCTTCACTATCCACGCAACTATAATGTAGAAGAAAGCAGTTTCCTGTTATACTGGGTCCGGGGTCGGGACTGCACGACTGCGGGGAGGGGGGGGGGGAGCCGATTAAGTTATAGAAGGATGGTGATAATCTTTTTTTTTTTAAACAGAATATTAAAGCGATCAAAGTTTTAAAAGATGGAACAGGATATGAAATAACAATGAATGACTGAGACATTCGGACCGTAACAACAACAATCCACTCATGACAGAGCTTACTACGAAAGCTCTGTAAAGAATAATCTCCCCAACATCGATGCCTTTCTGGTGAATTACACGCGAGGGAAATTACAGGAATATACATCTCCCTGGATATTCTGTACATTGCACGTGAGAAGTGTGGCGTACGTGTGCTGGCACAGGCATGCTTAGTGTCGCGTCGCGCCACCTTTTTGAATGAACATAATTGTAAATATTGTGATTAAGAAAGGGGGAAGGGCAAATTTCTGCAGTTTAATTTTTGAATGAAGGTTAACCTGTCTTATAAAGTGTCCATACTTATAGGATAGGATATTAGACCAGTCTAAAGATTTTTACCCATGGGCTGATGAGACTTTTCATTTGTGCCTATAAAACTTGAATAATATAGTGCTGAAAATGAATGAATGTTTCACCTTTACAGCGGGGGAAAAAACAATCGAGTGTAAAATGTGTATACTAGTACATGTATATGACTTGTGCTTTTGCAGATATAGCACATTCATGCCATTTGCCTGTACTAAAAGAGTTTTTCATCTGAAACATACATGCATTGATTTAGATATATATTTTTTCACCATGGAGATATATGATTCTTCGTGGTTACTGCTTATTGAAAAATGAGCGTACCTTATATGTTTTAATCAAAATAAAATTATTATTGTGTGATGACTATGTCTATTGATGAACTATGAATTCTTTAAGTTGTTCACGATATCAAACATTTGAACTTTTCATAGTATATATCTTACATACTGAAAATACCCTCATGTAGTACATATGTACTATTTATATTCCTTTAAAACCATCTATGCTGATGTGCAGGGGGGTGTTTCACAAAGATCCTAAGTTGAACTTATCTCTAAGTTGGACTTAAAAAATATGGAAAGCCATTAGCATCTTTGAAAATATTTTGTAAAAGTTATTTTGAAAGGCATTCATTGTTTATTGAAATCATTCATATTTTCTATTATCAAGGAGATTTCATGTTCTGGATGTGGAATTAATAAAAAGTCCAAAATACTTGAATTTCTGCTTTTGAATATATTTCATTTAAAGACTCCAATGGCTGTCCATAATTTGTAAGTCCAACTTAGAGTTAAGTTCTACTTAGGATCTTTGTGAAACACCCAGGTCTTCACAATACTAGTCTGGTCCTTTATGTCTACAGTACAATTAGATATAAACATGCTTATATTTCCAGATGGTTGGACTATAAACTTGGTTTAAATCAAATTTAACAGGCCAAGAGCGAGTTTTACTCAGTCCTGCTGTAAAACTCTGTTGCTTAAATCCAGCATACCAGTACTGTTTAATCGTTTGAATTATGGTCCCTATTAAAAAGTTAAGTTCTCCTCCCCATCCCTACCCCTCTCTCTCTTTCTCTCTCTGTGTCTTTCAGCTCTCTTTTGATCTTTCTCTCTCTCTCCCTCTCCCTCTCCCTCTCTCTAGGCAGATGTATATCGGTCACACTCTCAAAAGGACTTCAGATAATCTTTGAACAAAAGCACAGCACAAACTATACACACAGTTGGGGGATACTATATATTGCATAACCAAGAGATTTTTTTAATGATGAATGGCAGAAGAAACCATCAAAAATGGCTCCCAGCACAAGTCTCGATATGATTCCTCTAAATCATCCGTAACCATAGAAACATAAATCATATTTTCATCACAAGTCTAGTGATGCAAGTTAATATTGATAATCCAACGTGCAATAATAAGATATGGGTCTTTCCATAATTCCTGTAAAATCTTTTGGCGAATCAACCATGTTTCCAATGAACGTACGAGTTGTAGATTTTCTACTTCAATCTTGAAGAAACGCCATTAACGTATACATTTGTATGTCATACACATAGCAGGTAAACAGAAAATGGCACAGTGAGATTACTTAAAGGGTAAGTAGAAAATAATTCAATTCAAAGAAAGGTGTGGATCCTTACTATGGTGGATTTAAAAATATCTATGGGACCACGTGTAACATACACGCATATGCCTTTGAATAGTCTTGACAGGCTGCTTCATAAAATAGGCAGGTCCAATTTTCGTTCCTTAAATAAATACATACATATCATAAATGTTAGCTGTGTAGCAAAAGAATACAAAAAATACTTTTTAAAAATACATCCAGGCAGGATATAAAAGAACTATACACCAGGTAATTGATGCAGGAGCAGAATCCGCCCCGTTTTTAAAGCACATTTTATACGCAAATACACACATGTATAATAAATTGAAGATTTCATTTGTAGCAAAACCTTTGCTTCATACAATGTTACCAGTATTTATTCTTCTTTCCTTCCAAACTTTTGTTTTGGTGCATCAGCTACTGAAAAGATAACTATGATAATGTAACATCATAATAAATGTACAAACCTTTATATTTTAAAGGTGTATACAAATTGTTTAATGTGGAAGCAGAAATTCAATGAATGTTTGAGATATTCTCAATGATTTATCTCATTTTCAATAATTCCCTTTTCATTTTCTGCTTCCACTTTGCCAACTTTGTAACAAATGCTGACTTTTACAGCATCTCAGTTTTTAAAATCCTTGAACAATTACTGCATTGTGAAACAAAGGTTTTCATTCAAATAAAAAGCAATGGAAGGGCCCTCTCCATTTTATGAACCTACCACAGCTTTTTCAACTTTGAGTATCATCAATCTAATTGTCATTACACTTTTAATTCTTCTAAGTATACACAGCATGGTAGTGTGAATATATATACAGACTCATTTAGAAATACATGTTTTATAAAGCTTAATGGCAAACCAAATCAAAATTCTCCTCCATCGTCTCCATATTGATATAACGCCGCAAACGTAGATAGAGATGAAGTTTGCGGCTTTCAAATCCTGATAATACAGCAGAAGATGAAAATAAGAAGATTAGTTTTCCCACCATTTTGGCCTCAGTTCAAATATCCAACTATCATTAAAACTACATGCAAGCAACTTCTATCCATAAGCATAAAACATGAACTTTTAAGCAATTTTTAGTTTTGATTCACAATATTCACAATACCACACCTAATAATCTCTAGGTACTTTCAATGTTATTCTTAGTCATCTTGAGACAGATTCTGCATGCAAACATTAAGAATATACATACATTTATTCTTTGTAATATCATCTAATAAAATCTTCCTTTCACCAATCAAATACACCTTTTTATAAGAACTATCTTTAAAATATTAAAAGAGTTAAACCTCGTGGTTGCCTCACAGAGATTTATATTTAAAAAACTAGGGTAAAATATAATGAAATAAATTCTTGTGTTTGCATGCAAAAGTGTGTAAGAATTAAATTAAAGTCAAAACAAAAGTGCAATGAGAATGACATAAAATCATCAATTTATATCAATATACTTTATAATCATTTTCTTTTCTTCTCCTTGACGTTCCCAATATACTTGATTACATCACTGTTTCGTTTCCGCATCTAACATCACAGGTTATGCCAAGGAAACCTGTCAAATGAAAATAAGAAGGAAAAAGTGAAAAAATACATTGAGAATATAGATGCATCGTTTCTTTTCTAAATTAGGAATAAAATGGTAGAACATATCGGTATACATGTATTTTCATAAGAATATGTGTGTGCTTATGAAATGACCTTATGAAATGTTTTTGTTTTGTCCTCTTCTATAGCCACAAATTAGTATTACTAATTTAATGAAATATAAGATTGAGTTATTAAAGCCAACACCCACAGACAAATATCATTTTAATTTTGATGAGTGGGGGGATGAAAGAATTGTTATGCAGTTTCACTAATCGTAATATCAAATTCAGTTACTGGTCTTCACGGCTGATAAATGTTTTTTCCCCTCATTAAACAATACATGTAACTGTGCTTCGCAATGTCAGGATTTGGCGAAATGCATAACCTTGGTGCACTTTACATAGTTAAAGACTATATTGAATTGAATTTCCTTCGAACCAAGGCCAGTCCCAAACCCTAAGTGATGCACACAGTACTGTGAACAAATGATGCAAATTAGCTACTGCAGCTATATTATGCTTTGTTTTTTTAGAAACATGCCTCTACGACGTACCAACTCACTTACTGACTTGTATGTCTAACCACGGCCCTGTCGTACCAAGAGTTACGAGTCTTGTAATCAATCGTAAGTTTGCAGTCCCCTATCTCTTATGTACATAGTTGCAAATAATCGCAAATAAGTTACGATTAATATCAACTCTTTGTAAGACGGGGGCCCTGAACTATCCGTTTTTCCTGTATATTCTACTCACGAGTTACCAACTTACCTCCTATACTTATCGTCCACTGCCATTCTTGTTGGCGTCGCCCCCATCAGTGATGCCAGCCAGAGATCTCAAGGCAGTGATGGCTGCTACATCATGAGCTGCCTCCAGGGTGGCACCCACACCACGATAGGCCGACTGAGGCTCCGTAGAGATGTACACCACAGACTGATACTCGGGTTTATTTCCCTGTTGACACAGATAGAAATGAAATGAATGTAACTAACTATCTTGCCCAACGGCTAGTTTGTCAGTGTGCTAATTTCATATACATGTACATATTAAAATGTGTCACTAAATATCCAGTGATTGGTGAAAATAGAAGACTTTAAGTGAAATCAATAAACATCATCAACTAGAACAATATAGACAAGTGCTGAGTTGGGATAGATATTTTAAGGAAAACATACTATAGTCTATAAAGCAACAGTAACCAACAACATAACCCTCAGCTACCTAGGGGACTTGCACCACTGCCTTTAGCAAGTGACTCTAGCTGCTAAGTTGGTCCAGAAAGGATTAGTTGGCATACTTTGAAGCAACAAGTACCCAGTCAACTATTTTGGGGAAATCTTAAAACTGAGTGCTGACATTACAGCACATAGCTAACTCTGTGAAGATACTCTAGCTACTGATTTGGTAAAGAGAGGTTAAGCGATGTTAGAAATCGTGTACTGTACAACAACAATTTGAAAAAGCCATTCAACTTTGTGCTGACACCAGTGACTCCAGGAATAAGGGACTCTAGTCACTTAGTACATCTGGGAGTGTTTCACAAAGATCCTAAGTTGACTTAAAAGTTATGGAGAGCCATTTGTAGCCTTAAAATAAAATATATTCAAAAGCGAAAAATCAAGTATTTTAGATGATAAATTCCACATCGAGAACATGAAATCTCCTTGATAATAGGAAATATGAATGATTTGAATCAACATTTTATGCCTTTTAAAATAACTTTTGCAAAATATTTTTATAGATGCTAACGGCTTTCCATAATTTTTAAGTCCAACTTAGAGATAAGTTCCAACTACCCTAATTAACGGTGTATTAACCCCATTTTTTTTACCGCCAGTAAACGTCAAAAGTCGGGGGTGCGGTTTTTTATACACGTTACAGACAAAATTCATGCTGCAAATTGTTTCACTGAGGCTGAAGTTCTTGACTTAGTTAGATACCATCGTCCTGAAAATGACACTCATTTTTAACGCTTTTCAAATCATCCATCGGAAGTTCTGACATTAGAAAAAATATTTCTAATGTGAATGTTATACTATAATCTTGAATTTGATAAATTTTCATGTAATTCCGATGATGCAAAATATGAAATTTGGGGCCTGAAATTGTGCTCTGTCACTGCCAAGTCGATCATAATTGTGTTGGGATTGTTATTACATACGTGCGTTGGACAACAAATTTACATTGCCCCATGTGTGATCATTAATGTAGTGAGATGAAGAAATACGTGACGAAAAAAAATAAAAATATTTCTAGCAATATTTTTGTATGAAAATACTTGTCACGAACCTACAAATATGCAATATTTTATTTTTTGAACTATTATTATTGTAATATTTCTGGTTGATTGATGATTTTAACTTACGTGAAAATGGATGTTTGTTGATTCTAAATATATGTCTGGTGGTGGGAATTTGATGGATTTCATATTTTGAGTGTGTGTATGTACGTGTGTTGGTTACATTATACATAAGTGTAAGAATTTCGGCCAAATTTTACAATATAAATAACGAAATAAATATATATTATAGTATTGTAATTTATTTATTCTGGAAAATTACGAGAATTTTTTTTAACCTCTTAAAAATAAACAATTATAACACCAGTAATGAAAGAGCCTGAATTGTAAATCCAATATGGCAGCTTGCATGAGTCTCAATTTTACACAACAACACCAGACAAAATATTGAGAAAAATAATCATTTAATGTCAAATTGAAATCAAGATTTATGTACATTTGCAAATAAAACACGATTAAGGACAGCAATATGAGGGCGAAAAAGAGGGGTGCGGTTAATACACGAGGGCAGTTTATACAACGTTAATTACAGTAATGATCTTTGTGAAACACCCCCCTAGACAGGTTAAGAACAGTATACTCTGAAGCAAACAGTTTCAGAGTATACTATTTACCAGTAAACCTAGTGACCTACCTTGGGGAAGTCGTTAAACTTGGTGCTGACACCACCAACTTGGGCAAGGTACTCTAGCTGCTGAGTTGGTCTAGAGAGGTTGGGGATGGAATGAGGTCCAGATGTTCCCTTCAGAAGAGCTTCGGCGGTTGGGGAGTGTCCAAGGCTAAGAAGGTCCTGGGCTATGTCACGCAGGGAATTCTTCTTTGGGGAGACCTTCATGTTAGAGCCTGTGACAGGTGCACCAGGGGCACGATTTAGACCTGGTAGGAAGCAGCCAGGAACATGTTTTTTTTTAAGTTTAAAGCCCCACTGCACTACTTATGGCTACTTGCACCCTCTATACAGCAAACGATGCCTAAGCAGTACCCATTGATCCCCCATGATGCCCTTTTTCTTATGTTAATTGAGAGCTGATTTGATGAGATAACCACCTGCCAGTGACCTTACAGGGAGGTCTAATCCCTCCATGCCAAACTAGTGCAGAGGGGCTTTAAGTGATGGTCTACTTCTTACGTTTCCCAAGTTATTCCTCATCAACATTGCCTTTTAGTGAAAATGGAGAATACACTTTGAGCTTGGAATATTGAACTCTGGTTTGGCTTATCATCAACATTCAACCTCCATCAGCCTTCAGGAAATGTCAAATAATGCAAAGGAAAAAACAAATGAACTAGCATTGGTATTGGAAGATTAAAAGTATTCCAATGGTAAAGGATGTCACTGAATTCAATCAGAAATGGAAATCTGTAGCTTATATGATGTATTTCCACTTATAAAATAACATTTTCTTCTTCTTCTTTCTGTTTATGAATGATAGGATATAGACAAGACAAGCGTCAAATGCGTGTTTTTTGTTCTCAAAAGACTTAATAAAATTATATGGGTTTTCTGGCCTTACAGTCATGTATAATTTGGTGAATTGTTTCAGTCCAGACTAAGAAAGGACCAAACTGGAAAAAAAAGATGACAAGGAAAATGGGCCCAGTTAAATCCAGCATTGATTTGGAAGCAGAACTTACCTTGTCCGGGCATTTTATGAGCTCCCGCTGGAGCAGGGCCTGATGGGAAGATCTGTGACGGCTGTGATCCCATGCCTGGCATCATGGGAAGCAATCCAGGAGCAAGTCCTTTCACAGAATTAACCTGGGCTGGAGAGCCATCCTTCTTCTCGTCCTTCTTTAAACCTGAGATGAGGTGACCAATTAGCATGAGGAAAATGTGCAAGAGGATGAAATATTGTGTTTTTGAAAAAGAAAATGTTGCCAATAAGCCAGTTCATAGTTGCAGTCTGAGTGTGAGTGTGTGTGTGTGTATTTGGGTATTTACAGACGTGTATCAATCAGATATGATTATTTACGTCTGAGGACCGACTTTTAACGTCACCATCCAAAAGACGTGACTCGGTTTGAACCTGCGTCCTCGGCTGAATCATGAGCAGATAAAGGTCATTGCAGACCAAATTGTGAAATACACGGAGACAAAATACTAGATACGTGCTCATGAAAGTTATGTAATCATTATTCATTTATGCGCAAGCAGTGCACTCCATGATACACAGGTGGAGGTATTCTTTGAAAAGGGGAAACAAAGGCGTTTTATGTAGCACCTCCATTGCTGTAGGAGTGATAGTTTCAATATGTACAAAGTGGGGCCGCTTCATGTTTTGAAGATCTGTGGATATTCAGGGTCATTTGTGACTAAACTTGAACAGGTGTATTATTACAGACATATCAGCAAAGTAATCCTACATGGGTTTAGAAAGGTCGATGCTACCTTTCAATCCTAAATGTCACTGGGTCTGACCTTAAACACACATATTTTATAAGTAGCACTTGGGTAAAGTAAACATTTGAGAGGAAAACACTCACCTTTCTTCTGTTTCTCATCTTTGAAAGTGACTTTCCTGTCCCCCTCCTGATCTAAAGTCTGTGTAGGAGAAATAGAAATTCAATTCAATAAGAATGAATGCTTCAGGAAACCATTTTGGCACATTAATGATCAAGGGATGGAACATTACACTTTGTAATACTTCACTAATAGGAGACATGCCATGAATCCTGAAGAATGTATCCTGTTGTTACAAGTCAAATTAAGGTTTCTGTCACAATGCAATTGCAAGACTTTGATCTTAAGAAGATTCACACCACCATTCAAGACTTCAGTCAGATAACATTCACATTTCTAAGATTCGATATCAAAATCATTGTAGGTTTTTTTTTCCCCCTACAAAACCAAGGCTTTATCAGGGCTGTCAACCCTCCCGCATTTGGAGGGAGTCTCACGCCACCATGCTCATTCTCCCGCTGTCCCACCAGCTCGTAGCGGGAGACTCCCGCCACCACGCCCTTCCTCCCGCTCTCCCGGTTTATTGAAAAACCTCCCGCCAAACGTGTATAAAAAATGAACCAGCGTACTCGTATCGTATGGATTTTTTTTTGCTCAACGGAGGAGGGGGGGGGGGGGGGGGGGGGGGGGTAGTGAGTACTTCAATTTTTTTTTCTTACTCAACACCCCCCCCCCCTTCCCTGTTGAGCAAAAAAAAAATTGCATCAAAGCAGTCCCCAAAGTTGACAGCCCTGCCTTTATGCAATCATCATCACAGCAGATTCTGTTTTTGTCTTTCTTATATTAGAGTAAAAGAAAAAAAGAACATGCATCTCTCTCGCTCTCTCCCTTCCCCCTACCCCTCCCCCCCCCCACCAAAAAAAAAGAAGAAGAAGAAGAAAGAATCTTCTCTCTAACTCCATTCTTATCTTCCATTTTTCTTACAATAAATAGCATGTAAAACCATTAGCAAACACCAGTGATGCATACACCATGCGTACCTTGGATCCAGTCTTGAGGGCTGACTTGGAGGGTTGTCCTGCGCCCACACCATTACTTTCCTCAGGCGTAGGGGCGTAGCCAAGGAGCTTCAGCATGTTCTCTGCTGCTTGCTTCTTGGCATCCTTCTTGGTCTTCCCTTTACCGCTGGCTGTCTTGGATGCAGCAGACACCTGAGGAATGTGGGTATAGAAAGATCCATGGAAAGTGTTATACAGTCAAACCTGTTTTAGTGACCATCTGGCCACAAAGACCACATTTCTTGTTTCCCTTTAAAAGGGTTTCTCATTGATACATGTACTAAAGCAACCTGTCTACAAAGACGACTTTTTGTGTTTGCCTTGGGCGGTCACTATAGACAGGGTTGACTGTACTTGGTAATATCCCCAACCCCCCAAAAAATAAAAACAACATGACAACAACAAACACAAACAAAAACAGGAAAAGAAATTACATGAACTTGAGGTAAAATATTTCTCTAAACAAATAAAAAGGAGGCAAATTTTTGCTATAAAGCAAAATGAATACTTTGTTTTGCAGTCACTTTGAGATACATATATAAGAGGCTTACAAGCACTTCTGTTTTTACCATTTCCAAAGGAAATTCTTGGATATTGCTTTCCTATCTTCATCAACATTTTCTGGATTTGGGGTTACAATTCTAAGATCCTAAGCCACTTGACTCGTAATGCACATCTTTTCAAATATGCCATAACCTTAAGAAGATGTTTTTTTTTTATTGATAAGAGAATAACCAAATGGAGACCTACCTGCATGGTAAACTCCCGTCTTCGTATCATGTGAGCTCCTGCTCGTTCCATCAGAGGACGCTCCTCAGTCACAGCGAATTCAGGTTCACGCTCGTTCTTGGCCTAAACAAAATAAAACAACAGTCTTCTCATTACCAGTCCACCTACAAGTTTCATCCTACGATGAAGGGATGGGTCAGGGAGTCACAATTAACATTAACATCCGTTCTTAGCCTCTAAAAAGATAAAACAACAGTCTTATGTCTCACTCTTTTCAGGTTGCATCGGCCAAACTTAACGGAAAATCTAAAAATCTGTGATACTGTTGACAACTTTAAAGCACGTCTTAAAACATTTCTTTTCAAAAAATACTTTCTAATGTTAATGAGAGGAAGAAGGTTGAGCATATCTCACTCTTCTTATGTTACTCTATCCATCTTTCCTTCTTAGTGTTTATTATTGCGCATAGAGACATATTGTAATATGCGCTTAACAAGTACGGTATATTATTATTATCATTATCGCACTATGAATATGCCTGAGTCACAGAAAAGGATACCAAGTATTGACATGAGTACCATAGCTTTTACTTTATAATTCAAAATGGAAACAAAATACAACACATAAAATGAGATTAGTGCAGGAATATGTGTCCAGGGTCGTCAGAGGCATATTGTTCTCTTGATATGAAGAGTTTTAAAGCCCCACTGTACTACTTATAGCTACTTGCGCCCTCTATATACCAAATAATGCCTAATTGTGTTGGTCTCCCATGATCCCCTTTTTCTTATGTTAATTAATTGCTGATTTGATGAGATAATCACCTGTCAGTGACCTTGCAGGGAGGTCTAATCCCCCTGGCCAAACTAGTGCAGACAGGCTTTAAACCTTCGCAGTACAATCCAGAAACACAACGAATTGAAGAATTTGTTTGGCTTATGGTGAACCAAGGGTTAAAGGGGTTATCCTACCTGAAGAATCTGTACAAGCCTGCTGACAGGGTGAAGGCCTGGAGCGCCAAAATTGGGGTCCTCTGGGGATGTCTTCAGCAGAGACTTGGATTTCCTCTTCTTGTTCTTGTCCTGCACCCAAAGCTTGCGCTGCATCATGTGATGTTGGATAACAACCTGCTGTAAATAGGGTGAACATATAAATATCACTTGAGAATATGAAGAAAGGAAAAGAAATTGCTCAAAATGCACTTCAGAACAATCCCACTTTATGACACATTGCAACAGCCACACCGAAGAGCTGATTATTAACAGAACCAAACCATATTACAGATGTTTCAAGAGTGTGCTAGATAGTTATGTATAGAGATTTTCAGTTGATGCTTTTTTTTCACCAAAGCTAAAACTGGTTACTCCATTCAAAATATACAGCTTTTTGATCTATCAAAGTCTTACAAATGTAAACATACACTCACAAACACACACTATAATGGACCTGAAAGTTACCTTAGCTGCGACAGGAGGGAGTTCCTTGAGTTTAGGGAGCATCAGCTCAGCGGCTTTACGCTTGGCATCCTTCTTGGAAGGGCCTTCAGACTCAGTGTTAAACTCTCCCACAGTGCACTGCAGCTTGAAGATCTTCAGGTGGGGCTGCCCTCGCTCATCCAAAACCTTTTAGGAATCATTGGAAATCATTGGAAGCAAGTGGTCAAACTGGCTTAGGGGAAATATCATTTTGTTAATGTTTACACTACGATTGCAAAACCTATACAGTAGCAAAATGATAACATAGAAAAATCATTAAACAACTTTTATTAACTAAAAGTGACAGATCTTCTCTCCCCCCCCCCCCTCCTTTTCACTGTAGAAAGTAAGGAAAAACAAAAGAACTATTTCTCTTTAATAGAAGTCAATAATTGCTTTGTCTTCACATGATTCAAAACAGATTCATGCACTTTTAATCCCTTGTTTTCAATGATCTTTCTATAGGCACAAATTTTGTATGAAGTTCTGAAAACGCTATCAAAAGCTCTCCTCTTACCTTGAAAACAACATTCAGATTATGAAGGTTTGCAGCCTCATAGATAAGGCTGATATCGGACTTGACATTCCTCTCCTCCCCACCACTAGGGGCATCCCCATTGCCGTCCACAACCACGTTGGTGGTCGTAGCCATGTCCACTTTAGATGCAGGCTCGTTCTCCAGGGCGGTCAGGGCACGGAAGGCGGCGTTTTGACGGGCACCCTTCTGTGTCTTTCCTTCCCCCACAAACTCGTGATCGCCGACGGTGACCTTAATGTAGTGCACAAATGGCCGTGGGTACCTGATCCATCGTGAACAGAGAGAGAGAGAGAGACACGAGACAGAGATATAGAGTTATGGTATGGCTCAAAAGTGCACAAAATTTATGTATCAAGTGCAAAACAGCTGGAATCTGAGCACATTTAATACACACTACTCTTGTATTGCTCATAATTTGAAAGGTCTTGTTGGCAGTGTATAACAAATTAATTTTGTATTTGTTGACATATTCTTGTTTTCTCATTATCATAAAGGTATCTTATGTAGACTATAAATATATGTTGGTATAGTACATATGTTGATAATTATGGTGCCCTCATCACAAGCCGCCTGCTTTCAGGGAATGTAAATGTCCTCTTGTATTCAACTGATAAGAAATATAATTTCTTTTGAATTTGAATATAAATAAACTAATTGCTCCCTGGCTCCAATCTAAGCTGGCTGTGCCACTGATGTACATGTACCCAGAAAATAAATTGGAAGGTTCCTTCTTCTCCAAGTTGCCTTGATGATGTCACAGTTGGTTGCACTAATGGCAATCTGACCTTGCAAATGTTAACAACTTACCGATAGTAGGGCCTGTTATGGTTGTTTTGATATGGAGGGCCTCCCTGCTGGGGCATATGCTGATGTTGTTGTTGTGTTTGATTAGGTGGTGGCGCCCCATCCTGCTGTCCCTGCTGCTCCATTCCCCCTGGGCCCTGGGGAGGCATCCCCTGGGGTGGAGCCATGCCTGGGGGAGGGGCAACTTGCCCTAGGAGGAGATACAAAGAGAGAAGAGAAGCAAAGCGGGACTTACTTTCTCAACCGGTTTTTAATACACAAAGTGTATTTCAGGGATGCCAGTTAGAATTGATCAGACGGCCTGAAAATCACCTAGAATGAGTTATTTTGTACACAAAACAGCGACAAAGTGCAGAATTTGTTTGAGATAATTGATGAATGGCTGAGGCAATGGGATAAGAGTAAATAACTTATGCTATCACATTCAAGACATCACTCTTGGACCTCTTTGAGACATACATATACCTATAATACATTAATCAACATGAGATTACTTTAAAACCAAAAAGCTTTTTCACTTTGAGATTGGTCTAGATTTAAGACAGTTCCATACCACAAAATAAGTAAACTAATTCCTATGCTATTGCGATGAAAGAAGTAACTGTTAACCACTCCATTAAATTTCAGGTAGTAAAAACCTCTGGTTTTACAGTAAATAAAATCAAATCTTCAAACCTTGCTGTGGTTGGAGAGGCGGTGGTGGCATCTGTGGAGGGCCAGGAGGGTGGAATGTAGGAGGGGGTTGAGCCGGTCCAGACTGCCCTTGCTGCCCCTGACCTTGCTGTTGGGCTGCTGGTGGCTGCTGTGGTGGGGAAGGTGGTTGCTGCTGGTTGGGATGTGGACCTTGCGGTGGTGGACCCTGTGGCATACCACCATGATTAGGAGGGGGCATACCTTGGTTCCTGGGGCCACGGTAACCTCCGTAGAAGGGGCGCTGGGGTACAGGGTTGAGGGGCATGTAGTGCACCTGCTTGCCTGTCTTCATGGCCAGGCTGTTGAGCTTGACGGTCGGGGTCATGGCATCAGTGTTGGTGTTCATGGGCCTGTGCTTGAACTTCTTGGGCTGGTTCTGCTTCGTTCAATGCAATACATAGAACATTTGATAGTAATAATAAATGGAACTGGGAGCTGCACAGCATTCAAGAAGCTATCTCATCATTAGTCCTCTCCTCATGCACACATCTTTCATCAGAGTATCACATTATATCCTCTCAAATAATCATTGTTACACAAAATCTAAAGACTATACCAGATTTTCTGTATCCCTTTTTCATAATCTTTAAATCGACAATACATAGAGAAATGAAAAATTACTATTATATCATAAACAAATTAACAATATTATGTGGCATTCTGTAATTCTGTTCATACAAGATCATTTCTCCTATAAATGTGAAAGAAACATATAATCTGTGCAAATTTGAGGAGACATAGCAGGTCTATTCAGACCTTCCACAATTTATGTTCAAACTTCAAAAGTTGATGTTCTATGGGTTAGTTTATGATGGCATTCACTGTCATCACCAAAGCATCACACTTACTCTAGGGACGGGATGGGGAAGCCCACACTTCTCCAGGGCACTGGCTGCGGCTCCGTGTTGAGCCTTCTTGATGCTGGCGCCAGACGAATCGTATTTCTGAGTGCCAAGGGTCAGACAGACGGAGAAGATCTTCTCGTGGGGAGGGCCCTTCTCGCTGACGAGCTCGTATTTGGGTTGGAGTTTGTTGAAGCGTGCCAGCTCATTGAGCAGGCACATCGATGTCTTCTCTTTGGTATTTGCCATGTTGTTAGCTTCCTAAACAAATTCAAGCACGAGATGGAATGGAAAGGATACAGTGAAAGTCAATGATATCATGGGTCTTGAAGACGAGTGCACAGTTTTGCAAACACAAATTTTTAGAGCAGGTGAGTTTATAAAGACAATGTACAGACTCAAATGTGCTTTGAATTCAAACATACCGTACGTCTCCCATTAAAATGGGAATTAATAGAATTTTGAAAAGCCAAGTAATAAAGAATGTCTGCATAACTCTGTTTGGAAACAAGACACATGTCGATGCCTCTCCTTTGAGCATAACGATGTATATGTGGAACTTACATTTTGCGCAGGCCCCTGTGCAGCATTGTCCCCGCCACCCGTGCTGGGCACGGCGACACCGCCATTGGAGTCTTGCTGCGTCCCTTTTGGACTAGCAGAAGCAGAGGCAGCAGGAGGGCCACCGCCACCACCACCACCACCACCATGAGAGGCTGCAAGCAACTGGGCGGGCATGGGAAGGATCCCTGCAGGCCGGCCAGTGGGATGAGCCTCAGACGGTGATGAAGTGGCAACAGCTGGAGCAGCTGACTGGTTTGCAGAGTGAGACATTGGGGTCGACATGGTTGCAAGCTTTGTGGCTCTTCTGTTTGTTCCCTGTGATAGAAAAAAAAATCAAGTGGAGAAATGTTACATTTTCCTATTCTTTCGCTTTTCGAAGAAGTAATACAATTAATAATATGAACAAGGCATATGATATCTTCAGTAAGTATATAGACCTAAATCTACTTTCCATTCTGTCAGGAAAACACATACAATCCAATTGTTTCAAGATAGTTTCCCTTTCTTTCATATGCTTCAATTTACAAATATGGACATCAATAGACGGTCAAGCTCATGAAACTAAGCCCAGTCATTCAATTATGGAACATAAAGAGGAACATAAAGAGGAACATAATTCAGAGGGCCAATATGTTGTAAAATTGCCTTTTGTAAGCCAAATTATTGTACCCTATTTCGCGGACGCGTAAGTTCATACATGTCTTGGATGCGCTTACGCGTCCGTCCGTCGCCAACCTCTCAAAGACGGGCCTATAAGAGTCCCGGACACGGGCCGTCACCTCATTCTGGATTCTGATGAGCTGTTGACACACACACTTACTCCAGGATCGCTTAGTTTCCCGAATCATGGACTCCCGGCTCACCTCAAGACCCGGGAGTTAGCATGTTAGCTGAGCATCTTCAGCTATGCTGAGCTTAGCTGAAGGACAAGTAGAGATAATATAAGGTTAGTTTAGTGTTTAGTCGGTGTCTTGTCTTTCCTTCTCCATTTCATACATTTCACCGCATCGTAAGTA